GGAGCAGCACCCCGGAAGGGAGGGTGTTTATGTAGGGAGCCTCAGAAGCTGGTACCTGAAAGAGCAACAGCTGAAGCATTCCTGGCACGTGTCCTCACAGCTTCTGAAACACAGACCTGACAAGCAGACCGCTCTCACCACAGAGCCCCTGAAGGCTCTCATCTTCATGTCAGTTCACTAAGAACTTACTGGGAGTAAAACTCCTGCTGAGCCACGAGAGGTGTGTGGTGGCATCAGCTGGCCCTCTCTAACTCACGCTGACCAAACTCCTTCACTACTGCCCACATGCTAAGCTCAGTAAAGGCAAACTTCTTTTTCCACTCTAAGGCTGATGGATTTAAGATCAAATACCTGAAAAGTAAAAAGTAATTCTCAAAAGGCAGAACTTTGCCTGTGTTCCTTGTTTTCCTGATTGTGTAGTTTTCTGTTTATCGCTGTTTTACCACCTCCTGTGTGTCTGTGCTTTTTAAACAATGATATGCAAGTCACTTTCCCAGTAGAATTCAGCTATGAGATATATGTATCTGAGTAATTCTATAAACAATTGATGTGAGTCTTAGAAATAACTGCTGTGTTTTTACTTTTAAGACCTTATTGTGTTTTTTTCCACTGCAGCAACGAATCAGTACTCAGCAGCCCTTCACTACTATCTACAGGCAGGAGCTGTATGCTCAGACTTCTTTAATAAGATGGTTCCACCAGATGTGTACACAGACCAGGTGAGGTAAAATGTACAAAAATCTCTCTTTGGATTCAGCCAGCATCCACATTCTCTGTAGACATAAAACTGCTAAACACGCACACATTCCTGTAGCCTGTACAGTTTTCTATCTTAATGCATTTAGGACTCTGAATCCTCATAGATCCCATTTTTCTTTGCTTGTTGCTCAAAGCCAACATGTGAAGCTTCTCCTTTGCTGAAGCACAGACAGCTTTTCTATTTGTTTTTAGAGACTGAGTGCGCAGAGCTGCCAGCTGGGAAAGTGCTGGTACTGGGCTCCAGTGCGGTAGTGAGCAAATGAAAACGGGAGGAGCGCGTGCATCACTGCCTGGCTCATCCCTGCGAAGTCAGGCAGCGCAGCAGCACTTGCTCTGCCTCGCTGGCGGTGCTGGAGCACTGCCCTGGGCCTCCGCCACTGGAAACGTCCGGCTCCTGCCGTGCTTCTGGTGCTGGTTTTGCATGAATGGAGCCTGCTTGCTTCCACCCATGGTGCAGATGAGCAGAAATGTGTTGTCTAAACACTTCTGAAATATTCTCTGCTCTAGCTAACACATTGAGGGGTAGGAGCATGGATCACATTAGTAGTGAGATCCAGACAACGTTGGCTCCTTTTCACACACATGCACACACACACGTGCAACTCTGCACTGTCAGAGTGTGCCAGAGGCATGGCACTGTAAGTAGCATGTACCTGCGTGCTTTGCAAGTTGGTGTAACAAGTGGCTTGTCACTTGCAAGTGGGCTGTGAGTGAAAACCCCTTAATAACTCTGTGTTTTGGGGGGCAATCTTCAATCCCAGCTACAGGGCGTTCTTGTGAAATCTTGCAGCCTCTTTAGCCTTTATCCAGGCATGTGTCTTGTTCATTAGGAAACCACTGTGTTAGTCACAGGCTGCATTTCGTTAGGCAGTAGGGAATGGCTGCTTGTCATGACTGTCTGTACCCAGGGAAGGAAGTTATTTACCTACCCTGCCCCATTGCTGCTCCTTTCACGTTCCCGTTCATATGGCAAGTGAGAGCTTCGCATGCTGTCTGGGATCCTGAAAGTTGACGGCCCAATCTAAGCTGTGCCTGTACCAGGCTGCTGCGAAGCAGGAGTGTGGGCTGGGACCACCGCCATGTCACACAGCAGCACTGCTGTGTTGGCCGTGGTGGGAGAGCTTTTGTCCGTGAGCCCGCTCGCTGTGCTGTTCCCACCCAGGACAGGCCTTTTCTGTGGGCAGCAGGAGGTAACGGTGAAGCTTTTATCAGCCCACAGCT